TTTTTTTTTTTTTTTTTTCAGGCCTGCCCATCACAAGATGTTTGTTTTTGCAAACAACTTCTTGGGACCTGGCCTTCTTCCAATTTTTGTATTTTGTATTTTTAATTTTGTATTTTTAAGTGCCTTTAGAAGAAAATAAATGTTTTGTTGAATTGAATTGAATTGAATATAGATCAAGTCTGGAGAGATTTTAACAAGGCAAGCTAATGTATTACCACAAATTGAAGATGCGTTAATATCACTCAAATCTATCCTTGCCAATTGAATGTCATATTTTCAACTACTGAATCAACCAGCTTTTCAAGGTTATCAAATAATTACTCCAACTGAAAGTTTCATCAGCATCATCATCACCACCATCATAATTAGAGTGATAAAACTCCAACAAGTGACTTACCATCAATATCTGAAAGGTCATTGCCCTCCAGTTGAAGCAAGTAGTCTTTCAATACTACATTCATCCTACCACATTCCTCCATCATTTCTTTAACAATACTGCCTGATAAACCGGAATAACTCATGTCAATACGGATCAGGTCTGGAGAGATCTTAATAAGGCAAGCTAATGTTTTACCACTGATCGAAGACAGGTTAATATTACTCAAATCTATCAAATGCCAAGTCAATGTTTTATTTACAACACTTACTGATTCAATCAGATTTTGTAGGTTATCAGCTGTAAGAGAATAATCCCTCCAATGGAAAGTACCTTTTTGACCAAGGAAAAAATGTACCGCATATGCCCTGATGAACTCTGCAAGTGACTTACCATCAATATCTGAAAGGTCATTGCCCTCCAGCTGAAGCGAGTTGTCTTTCAATACTACATTCATCCTATCACATTCCTCCATCATTTCATTAACAATACTGCCTGATAAACTGCAATGTCTCATGTCAATACGGATCAGGTCTGGAGAGATCTTAATAAGGCAAGCTAATGTTTTACCACTAATCGAAGACAGGTTAATATTACTCAAATCTATCGAATGCCAAGTCAATTTTTTATTTACAACATTTACTGATTCAATCAGATTTTGTAGGTTATCAGCTGTAAGAGAATAATCTCTCCATTGGAAAGCACCTTTATGACAAAAGAAAAAATGTACCGCATATGCCCTGATGAACTCTGCAAGTGATTTACCATCAATATCTGAAAGGTCATTGCCCTCCAGTTGAAGCGAGTTGTCTTTCAATACTACATTCATCCTATCACATTCCTCCATCATTTCATTAACAATACTGCCTGATAAATTGCAATGTCTCATGTAAATACGGATCAGGTCTGGAGAGATCTTAATAAGGCAAGCTAATGTTTTACCACTAATCGAAGACAGGTTAATATTACTCAAATCTATCGAATGCCAAGTCAATTTTTTATTTACAACACTTACTGATTCAATCAGATTTTGTAGGTTATCAGCTGTAAGAGAAAGATCACTCCATTTGATAGTACTTTTACCATCAGGAAAAGAAAATCTTGTGTGTACCGCCGCATATGCCCTGATTAACTCTGCAAGTGACTTACCATCAATATCTGAAAGGTCATTGCCCTTCAGTTGAAGCGATTTGTCTTTCAATACTACATTCATCCTATCACATTCCTCCATCATTTCATTAACAATACTGCCTGATAAACTGCAATGTCTCATGTCAATACGGATCAGGTCTGGAGAGATCTTAATAAGGCAAGCTAATGTTTTACCACTGATCGAAGACAGGTTATTATTACACAAATTTATCCAATGCCAAGTCAATGTTTTATTTACAACACTTACTGATTCAATCAGATTTTGTAGGTTATCAGCTGTAAGAGAATGATTACGCCAATTAAAATTACCTTCAGGATCAAGGTGAAAAGGTACAGCGTATGCCCTGATTAACTCTGCAAGTGACTTACCATCAATATCTGAAAGGTCATTGCCCTCCAGTTGAAGCGAGTTGTCTTTCAATACTACATTCATCCTATCACATTCCTCCATCATTTCATTAACAATACTGCCTGATAAACTGCAATGTCTCATGTCAATACTGATCAGGTCTGGAGAGATCTTAATAAGGCAAGCTAATGTTTTACCACTGATCGAAGACAGGTTAATATTACTCAAATCTATCCAATCCCAAGTCAATGTTTTATTTACAACACTTACTGATTCAATCAGATTTTGTAGGTTATCAGCTGTAAGAGAATGATTACGCCAATTAAAATTACCTTCAGAATCAAGGTGAAAAGGTACAGCGTATGCCCTGATTAACTCTGCAAGTGACTTACCATCAATATCTGAAAGGTCATTGCCCTCCAGTTGAAGCGATTTGTCTTTCAATACTACATTCATCCTATCACATTCCTCCATCATTTCATTAACAATACTGCCTGATAAACTGCAATGTCTCATGTCAATACGGATCAGGTCTGGAGAGATCTTAATAAGGCAAGCTAATGTTTTACCACTGATCGAAGACAGGTTAACATTACTCAAATCTATCCAATGCCAAGTGAAAGTTTTATTTACAACACTTACTGATTCAATCAGATTTTGTAGGTTATCAGCTGTAAGAGAATGATTACGCCAATTAAAATTACCTTCAGGATCAAGGTGAAAAGGTACAGAGTATGCCCTGATTAACTCTGCAAGTGACTTACCATCAATATCTGAAAGGTCATTGCCCTCCAGTTGAAGCGATTTGTCTTTCAATACTACATTCATCCTATCACATTCCTCCATCATTTCATTAACAATACTGCCTGATAAACTGCAATGTCTCATGTCAATACGGATCAGGTCTGGAGAGATCTTAATAAGGCAAGCTAATGTTTTACCACTGATCGAAGACAGATTAATATTAATCAAATCTATCCAATGCCAAATCAATGTTTTATTTACAACACTTACTGATTCAATCAGATTTTGTAGGTTATCAGCTGTAAGAGAATAATTACGCCAACGGAAAGGACCTACAAAATCAAGGAAAAGAGGTCTTATGTATGCCCTGGTTAACTCTGCAAGTGACTTACCATCAATATCTGAAAGGTCATTGCCCTTTAGTTGAAGCAAGTTGTCTTTCAATACTACATTCATCCTACCACATTCCTCCATCATTTCATTAACAATACTGCCTGATAAACTGCAATGACTCATGTCAATATGGATCAGGTCTGGAGAGATCTTAATAAGGCAAGCTAATGTTTTACCACTGATCGAAGACAGGTTAATATTACTCAAATCTATCCAATGCCAAGTGAATGTTTTATTTACAACACTTACTGATTCAATCAGATTTTGTAGGTTATCAGCTGTAAGAGAATGATTAAGCCAATTGAAAATACCTTCATGATCAAGGAAAAAAGCTTTGATTAACTCTGCAAGTGACTTACCATCAATATCTGAAAGGTCATTGCCCTTCAGTTGAAGCAAGTTGTCTTTCAATACTACATTCATCCTACCACATTCCTCCATCATTTCATTAACAATACTGCCTGATAAACTGCAATGACTCATGTTAAAATAACGAAGTTTGGGAAGCATTTTCAATAAGGTTCCAAACGTTTTTCCATCTAAATTTCCTAAATAATTTTGGCTGAAATCGAGTTCACATAATTCAATTTCATGAAACCCATTGATCATTTTATTAAAACTTGCCTTCGATAGCCCACATGAAGCTATATAAAGACCAGATATATTAGGAGACACTTTAAGTAAATTGCCCAATAATGCATCATCAATGTTATTATTGTTAATAATAAGATTGCATCCACCTAAAGAAACTCCACTGTACTGACATTCTGTAATCATTGCCCTCACAATATCACCTGATAAACTACAACTGCTTAAATTCAGCACATTTAGATCAGGAGATATTTTAAATAGTTTTCCTAGTAATGTTCCATCGATATTATGTAGATCATTGCCCATAATATCAAGTTCTGTTAACTTTAACTTTACATTAGATTTGTGTAACTCAATGATAACTACACTGAGTACAGACTCAGTAAGCTTACCCGAAGTGATATGTAATTTAAAGAGGTTATTTGAATGTGTCAGCAAATGAATCAAGAATGATGAATTAAATACATGGTTTAAACTGACACTAGTGTGACCATAGTTCAATTTGAGGTATTTCATCTCAGCAGAAAGGAAATTAAGGTTTTCACTTTTCCAATTTGATATATATTTAAATAAAGGGTTTTTACTCAACGCGAACCAGGAGTTTCCTAATTTTAGTCCTTCTACAATAACTAAGATATGTACCAAACTCCTGCATGATGATCTGAAAGTCTCTTCACTAGATGCATCTAACAGCGATATAAATTTCTCCACCAGATTTCCCTCATATATAGTGCAACATATGTTCATAAGTTTATATAAATGCTCACTTACTACGCTTTTATCATCCTGAAGGACACTTCTGTATGTCTCACACATTTGCTTACAGTAGGATTTCATTTCAGTGGACATGTTTTTATCCAATTCCTGTAGCACAGCTTCTTCATTTGCCTCCTTTATATGTGTGAAACATTGTGCTATTGAGTAGAAATGTGAAGCCCTGATTACTAACCAGTGTTTAAGCAATCCACCAGCTTTAGCACCTAGAAATCCTATTGTAAACACTCTTGTCATTTTTAAATATTTATTAGATCTTATCACTTCATATTCATCAGATTTCAAATGTTCTTCCTCAATTTGATTTGACAAATAAAAACCTGCTAGTGCCTCTGAAATTAATTTGTGTGGAGGTGTGTACATCTCCCTTACATCACCAGGGTTAAAAGGGCTATCTTCATAAACAAATCCAATTTTCAATGCTAAATCTACAGAATCTATATTTTTTGTCATATTTGATAAAACATGTTTGTCAATAGACAATTTATTTTCCTTTAGGCCTTCATACATACATTCTCCTAATAGTAGAATGGCAAGTCTATACTGCTCTGGAACACTATTAATTTGGGAAATTGCAATATTATCATCCCTCTTGCATTTATATTGACTTAAAATGCAACAAATCAGTTCAATGAAAAGAACTGACAAGTCTTTTGGAAGATGTTTTTTTTGTTCCCATATGGTACAAATCATAAGCAATAACAGTGGGGATGAGCACAATTCAAATGCCTCTTTATGATCACCACCCCAATCACATTCATCCTCTGACACAAGATTGAACTCCTTCATTAATAATTCCCCCAACTCACATTTGTTGATTGAATGAAAATGATCATGAATATACTTCTTTATGTTTCTTCTACTGAACCCCTTCACTTCAATATGTACAGTACAACATTTAATCAAATCAATTGTGTAGTCAGGTCGGGATGTTATCACCACAGTGCTTTTTTCTAATTCACGTCCTTTGAACAGATAAATAGGGTCCTTAGCATCTCTGTGTAACTCATCATATCCATCTAACAAAATAACTATATCATCAGCATTATTTATCAGAAATCTTTCAACTGAGTTAGTTGACAAATTGTGCTGAAGAATTAATTCATTTGTAGCTATGTTTTTTAGAATTAATTCCAACATATCTGCACTTGTTTTAATGTCCCCAATATTGATCAGAAACAGTAATTTACCAGCAAAGGCATGTAATTCATCAGTAGCCCATTTATAAGTAATATATTTCAGAAGTGTAGTCTTACCCATCCCTCCTCCTCCTGTTATTAATAACTTACATGAATCTTTTGATTTAATGATACCTAATACCTCTGTTAAAGATGTGGGTCTACCTTCCTTTCTTATACATGTTGATTTGAATTCATCTGATTCTTCTTTGTCTTTCCTGTTGGATTCCAGTAAGATGAGTTGTGTGAACACTTCAGCAATATCTACTCTATGATGTCTATGCCAGATTGCTGGTGTCATTTGATTAACATCCTGATACAATTGCTTCAGCTTTTTTGTCAGAAATTCTTTGATAATTAAATCTGGAAACCAGTCAAAAAAAATATATTTCTGCAATTATTTATCTCATACAGAAATATTTTAAGATTTAAGTTATGTAGTAACAAACATCCATTTTAAATTACACTTATTGTGTTGTATTGTATTAATTAATATTTATTCATTTTTTATGCACAACCACATATTTAATGTTTTCTAAAACACAGAAATCATAATTTTTAACAATTTCAGGTTTTTCCAGTTTATGAAAGAAGATATATTGAAAAACATAAATAAGGAATAAATATAAGCTGTTTTGAGTTGGACTAAAGTTTTAGCTATCCTTGTTTTTCTTTATGACATGCAGCATCAAACTTAAAATAACTACTTCTTAGTTTTCTTTATTTATCTTATTAATCTACTTTTTTATTTATGCTACTGTTAATACTTAATTTTATGTTGTCCTGTAATCAAATTTGTAAGTGTTCTGCTGCTGAAAAAGTGGGTCCAAATAAATATTATTTATTATTATTATTCAACAGAGAGTGAAAAAGAAGGGACACATTACAAACAAAGACTAGGTATACACAGCGCCAGTCGTTGGCCAAGTCGATTCCATAGAAAATGCAACGCAACAAAGCATGCGCAACTGTTCGTTTTTACTAATCCACTAAGGCTGCCATTAACAATCAGCAGAGAATGTCACATAATCAAGCGATTACTGTGAGAAGAAAGGTACTCATCAGTCGTCGCACTGTGTGTCTGGGTTTAGTCTCATTGGCTCAAATTGTGAATTGTTTAAGTAATGTTAGATGAGAGTTAACAAGTAAACATTTTGATAAATATTGCAAACTATAATTAATGCTAGGAAAGAACGCAATGACATTTATAGCACTTTTGCATTAAAAAAATATTATCTCTATTTCTTGATACCAATGATTTTATTTTTTGTTTTATTTATTTATCTGTACGGCAATTCTAATTTAGGATCTTGTTGTACTACTGTAATTTTTGTTATTGTATTTTCTTTTCTTGTCTTCTGTGTAACTAGGTGACCTGTATAAACTTTTGTTTTATTATAAAGTATTTTATTTACTTGTATCTCATTTAATTAGGTCTATATACTGTAATTACGAACATCAAGTGTTCAAATGATGCAAAAGTGAATCCAATAAATGTTGTATTGTATTGTAGAGCTAACTGTTGACTGGAGAAGCAATATCTTAATTTTTAAAATATGCTTTCATGTAACCGATATCTGGGTGGAGGTCTTCAGTGCCCCTAGCAGACTTTGTTAATTTCATTGTTAATGTTAATATTAAATTTGATATGGGAATAAATTTATACATCTGTCATCTACATTTATATCCATATTGTGAATCATGTGACTTATCTACTCTCTAGTGTGCAATATGTAACTAACTACTCTATAACTTATCTGTAAATTTAGTTTTATTAGGATGTATTCGTATTGAAATGTCAATATAATGCTAATAAATATTATATTGAATATATTACACACCTTCATCCAACGTCAATTTTTTCGGCAGTTCTGATCTTCCTGACTTGCCTGCAAAGAGAATAACCCACTTGGCATTATACAGCAAAACAATAGTGTGCAATAGTCATTTTCAGTATATCAGGTACAGTCCATAGTTTTTTTTTTTTGAGTAGTACAACAATTTAACATGCATTTATGCACTTGTGTACATAAGCTACTCTTGTGATGACCTAATGGGAAAATCCAAGGAAGTATAAATGGAGCCTTTAGTAATGGTAATCAGTAGGCCCTGGGTTCAAATTCAAAGTCAATGTAAAATTGATTTATTCAAATATTTTGATACAGTCACTGTTTTTCTCCACATAATGTAAACAATTAGTGCACTTACACTTGTATTATATGTAAATCAACATATTGAAGTTTCATTATTTCATTATTAACTACAAACCTTCATCACATATACGTCTTTTTCTTGGTCGTTTCGATTTCCCTGATTTACCTGTAAGAGAACAAGACAATAGGTGCAATTTTCCAGCGTTTAAAAATACCTCTACTTCTGGTTTAAAAGCTTATTATTAATAATAATAATAACAATAATAATAGTAAAAAAAATAACAATAATATGTACTACCTGTTGTTTGATATTAAAGTAGAAATAAAATAACATTTAATGTAATTTTATTTATTGGCAGTACAAAGACTCAAACACAGGCCACAATGACACGGCTGAGGGTAAAGACCAGTCTTATATAGAACTCAATTTACATTCAACCTAACTGGAGTTAAATTGTATTAACATAATAATTTAATTACCTGTGACAGCATGACTAAAAACACCAGAAACATTAGTCTAGCAAGCATTATGACTAGCCTTACCTCGACTAGGATCTGTTTTCAAACATAAAAATGGCCGACAAGATATTTTTCCTCTGTAGTTCTAAAAGCCAATAATCTTGTGTGTCCACCACAGTGGCTGTATGGACCAGCATCAGAGTAATACCCCCCCACCCCATCTTGAATGACATACTGCACACAAGCATTGTGTACAGGCGTCTATGGTTTACAGTCCTTATCAGAGAAACTTGTCTTACCAACAGAACAGGCAAGCACTCCGAAACTAGCTTAGCATTTTGACCCACCAACAATTGTTTAACAAAAATATTAAGCAAGTATTCAGCAACGAGTACATACCTTTGTAGAACTTTGGTTTTTTTGATGTTGATGCTTCTCCATTACCTATTGAGGAAACAGAAATTGAATTTGCACATTAGCAAAATAAATACAGTAGAGCATAAATTAGTACAAAACAATACATTTTTTCCAATTTGGAGAATAACTTAGCTTAGAAAGTCAGAAACCAGTAACAGCACTTGTAAGGATAATCCTTATAGAAAATGTAGTCAAGTCAGAATTAATTATCACTCAAACTGACTGTTGTAGAACTGCAACTACAATTGAAAACATAGAATTACAACAATAATTTTAATGTTTGGATTTCAAATGGATTAAAAGCACAAGACAGGACATTCTACAAAGAATTCTAGAGAGTAAGCATAGCCTATTAATGTTTTAGTACTTGGTACTTGATAACTGCCATCCAATGTTAAGGGTACGGATGTGGTTATGGTGGGTGGAAGTGGGCTGAGCCACCCTGCCTTAAAGTTTTTCACCCAGTCTAAAGCTAATTTCATGGCCCTCCACCCACCCTTATTACCCGACTTTTCCATCCTTAAAATCCACTCTTATTATTTAAAGTTTACCAATGTTATCACCCACCCACCCTTAAGATGTCTATCACCAACCCTTAGTTTTCTACAGCTACAACCCTGTAAGGTATAACAACAATTTCTCAACACTGTTTGCATTGCACCAGTGTAAAATCCCTAAGCGATGGGAATTAACCACTCAACCCTATTTATTGTCACGGTGCACCAGGGCTGTTAATATTTCTTTGCATTCTTAGTTATTAGTTAAAAACAAATTTTAGAGTTAACAGTTAAGAAACCTTTAAAAACATTACACTGTATTCTATACCATATTTCCATATTGTTATTTTTTTTTTATATTCCAGAGGTTTGGTATTCCAGCAACACCACTGAACCATAGTAATTTGGTTTATTCTATTTACATGAAATTAAATCAGGCAAAAATAAATTCACCATAATTACCTTGCTTAACACTTGGCCTATCTAAAATTGGCCTTGCTGATACTTCTGATCTAACTTCATTACCTATATACAGAAATTGAAAATTGTTTCAGATTTTCTATAAAATTACATCAAAATTGTTCATTGCATTGCCCAAAACCACAAACATAGAGAACAATTAAAAGAACCAATTACGAATATGAAGTAAATTAAAAAGTAATTACACAAAATAACAATTTTAAGAGTTTTGCTATAGTACTGTTAGTTGAAAAACAGCAAAAGTTGCACTCATGTTCACATTTTTTGTATTGTCATATAATAAATTATTATAAATTATATAAAATGCAACCAAAAATAAACTTATTTTTTCTAGAACCTCCCTAATTAATTGAATAAGTTTCAATTATTAATACAAAGAGAAATATAATAAAGGTTCTGGGAGTGTTAAATGGTGTACCTGTATGTATGTGGGCATATATGTTTTTGTGGGCATGTATGTATGTGTGTATGTGTGTGTGCGGTGCCCCTATGCTACTACAGTATCCCTTACCTAAGCTTATATAGTGTAGCTCTCCAATTTGACCAAATAACATTACACCATCTGGGTTTGAACTTTCTTGAATTGTTGTGACCAAGTAGCCCTGCTCTGTGCTTTTTCTTTGACTGGTCACTATTTGAAAGTTGTGATTTAATATTCGTGACATCCCTCTTATGGCTGTCTCGTCAACAAAAGTACCATCTTTACTCAATTCATCTAGATATTTGTCATCTGTAAGGGCGATCAATGGATCTTTTCTATCCTGGAAAGAATTTAGAAATTGCTAAATGCAATAAAACACAATGTATCAAATAACACTTAGAAAATACAATGGAGGTATAATGATAATACTATGGAATAATCTATACACTTACCAAATGTCGCAAGTAGTCCACTAAATCAGCCCTGAGTTGTGCAGCAGATCGATTTGGTAAACCCAGTCTCTCAAATTGATCTTGGATGCAGTATAAGAAACAGTTCCCATCACCACTAACATCCTTTCTTATATGCATGTTTGACTGTCTAATATTATCTTTCAAACGGTTGTAGTAAGATGTGTATGTTTCATGCTCTTGCTTACTGACTGCTCTCCTGTTCACTGAGAACAAAATGCACACAAAAAATTATGACACTAAAATTAATTGAACAATATGACAATGACAACTTCAGATTTAAACCTACCTGAGCATATGCTCTCAATTCAGGCTCTAAATGCTGGATGAAATGATAGATAAAATATAAAGAGGGTTCCTAGATTGAGCATGATTAAAAAAGTTGACCATTGCTTGGGAATGAAATGTGAAATATTGGGAGTACTCGTAATCTTACAGGTATAACACAAGTGGCAAAAACTCAATTAAAAAAAAAAATTGGAACTTGCGTTGCATATATAAAACTGTGTAAAATAAAAAATTGGTAAATTTCTCCTTTAACAAATCATGCACTGTACCTTCCAGTAAAGCTTTCACAGCTGTGTAACTTGGTAATCCTTCAATGAAATCATCCATCTTTTCTTCCCAAAGCTCATTCCTTTGCTCTAGATCCAGAATCAAATGCCAGCTATCTTTATACTTCTTTAACAACGGTATGTTATATCGTACATCAAGCGCTACTATATCAGCTTTAGTCAGTGCCATTCCTAGCTTCAAGAGGAACTGTCTGTACCATGACAATTTAGACACTTCATGTTCTTCGATTCTTTGTAAAGTTGGAAGTACAATACTGGATTTGAAGCCAAGATGTCCGGTAACTTTGATTGTGTCATACAGGATAGTGAGATTTGTTTGACTCAAATTCCCAGAACAAATTAAAATACTCAGCAAGGACATTACATCAGTAGCCTCATTTAAATCAGAGTAAATTGGCACATGTTTTCTGTTGTTGTACAAAACTTTCAGCATATTGATGTATTCAAGTCCATCATACCAACTTGAAAAATCCACCAACAGCTGGCTGAAATCTCTTTTTGAAAGTCCTATGATACAAGCGAAAATAAATTGACTATCATCAATAATAGAAATATACAATTCAGGAAAATTTTAATCTACAATGAAAAATGTGTATTTGATAAACATCATTATTAATCATCCATTATAATCATTAAAATCATCATTATAGAAGTGAAAAATAGACAGCAAAGAAGATAAAAACTAAATTGAAGATTAAACAATGGAATTAATCAATACATGTTTAGAATCCTAAACAAATTCTAATTTATTTTAAAATAATTGCATTAAAGATTTTTTGTGGAAGAAAGTGTATAACAAGCCAAAATGTCTACTGTAACAGAGTAAACTTAATGTGTATAATTCAATTGGTTTAGATGAAGTACACCAACATTGAATAAAGCTGAAAATATCCAGGTTTTGTTAGTTTAATTAATTAGTCATTTTCAAGTAACCTACCGTAATCATGGGCGATTTTTCCTACATTTGTGTTGTTTTATATCATTAAATAATATGTTAATTTGGGAAGATAAAATAGACAAGACAGTCACTTTAACTATATACACTTTGAAATTCACTGTAAATATTTATTTACTTTACCTTCCAAGAGGCAAGGTAGGATTTGCATGTACAGTACATACAGGTAAGATTATTACCAATGATCAGGGCAATGTGAAGTCCTTTGAAATAGTTACACACAACAATGCCAACAACAATTACTTTATAAACAGTATTTTACCTGTTTCCTCCATTCTTCCTTTGTAATCTACTTCTCACAACAATTTATACAATAATTCACTCAAACTGTTGGAATGCACAAGCTTTCACACTAAAACAGATTCAATAGAAATGAAGATGTTCTTAATATTCTTTATATACCATCATTTTAATAAAATATTTAAATATTTACTGTGTTTCACCAATGTTTTTACTTTTTAATCAAAGCAGTTTATTTAAAAACCTCAGAGTAAAATACTAATACATTTAAAGATGTACTATCAGTCAAAAGAATAATAAATAATAAATCAAAAATTCAAATAATTTATTTTGTTTTCACCAATTTAGATATTTTATAACAAAATGCTTATACTGTACTGAATACCAGATATCATGTGACAATATTTCATTTACTAAATTTCATTATTACAACTCGTGTATTAAAACCACTGATTCTTTAACAACAAATGGAAGTCCCAACATCTGTTTTAAAGAGTCAAAATACTGAAAGTTTTTTGAAGGCAATAGATTAATATCCAATATTTTTTTTAAATATCTGAATATTTAGAATATTGATAACATAAACAAATTACAAACCAGCTAAAGTGGGCTGCATAGTCAATTCTCGATTACTACTCAGTTGCCCCTTACATTGGCAAGAGCATTACAATCTTAAAAATTCTACTTACCAGGTAAGTTTTTTTAATACCAAAATGTCCCCCCCCCCCAACACTCTTGATGTCAGTTGCCTTTCTCTTCAGCTCTTAGATGAATTGTATCATCACATCTTGGCTCACTTTTTGTGTTACTGGTAAGGTTTATTCCTGTAAAGTCATAAATATTATATTTATCATCTTTTCTTTCTTGGCTAACAAAATCAATAAGCAATGAAATTAAATCGTAAATAATTTTAACATATATGATTTTTATATCAGTTTACTTTCCTTTGACCTAATTTTATTATAGTGTCTTGAAATTTATTTGACTAGCAACTCTTACTTGACTTGCTCTTACTTGTACGATGGGAAAAGAACAGTTTTATTTAACTCATTATTTTCATTCAATCAATGTTGATTGAAATAGATGTAATACAATTCCAGTTAATCCAAACATCATAGGCTAAAAAGGCAGTGTACAGTTACCAAACATGCTTACAATATATTTTCTGTGATAAATTATAATATGGAGTGTCTTAAGGAATTATCCTATTTTATTACAGTATCGAATATACTCAATCATTGCAGTTTTTCGGTATTAATACAGTACTTTTATGGGTTTCACTAGCCCACCACAAATGTACTGTACCTACTGCCTATACTGTAATGTCTACCTTGACTACAGATCCCATACAACAGATTTAATGTCTGTTTTCTGGCGCATATCTAAAAAATAGGCTCACAGTAGGAGCGTGTGTCTAGGCCCTATACTGCCTTCTCCTGTATTATGTTTACTAATATAATAAAGTGTTGTTTTTTTCTTCTTTTTGTATGACAAAGTACACTAATAAAATATTACATATAACCCATCTTGCTCAGTATACAGTATGTAAAAAAAATGTTGTCTTTGTTTATGCCACTATTAAGCTTATTATTAGACAAAATAAAAAAAATACAGTTGTTTAGCTACACCGCTCACCCCTGATTTCCTTGCCTCCTCTCTTTTTTTAATTGTTGAAAATTAACTAAAAAATTACGATAATTGGCAGAAAAAACCCTTTTTTCATCTTGAGCTCTGTAAACAAGCTGTGTACCACCAACATTATAAGCGTGTTCTTATTTTTTGGCAGCAGCAGCCCAGAATACAGTCTACAAAATGGATATATTTTAACATAATTATACATGTTCCAAACGGCACCCCGTACAGAATGATTTCTGTACTGAAGTCAGGGACAATGTGATCAGTAGTAGCCTAGTATTAGGTTTGATGAAGCAAAGAAATCTAGGCCTAGGCACCTACTGTACAGTACTTTGAACTTAAAGGGTAACAAGAAAAGAAAATGGTTGCTCATGCTAGTCAACTCAAACCACTTTAAATCAGGGTTGCCATTTGGCCTTTTTGACGGCCAGATTCCTCAAATCCGGCCGTATTAAATTTCGCCTGACCGTAACGTTTGAAAAGTCACGGCCAAACTATATTTGGCCGAATTTCTAAAAAGTTAAAATTTCTTTCAATATAGGCCTAATATAACGTAGAAATGTTTTGGATATGTCGTTTAAAAAAGCATAAAAATTCTATATTTGATTCTACTCGTGATTTGACAATGATTTATTGTTTTAAGGACTGCAACAGTAACGTTTAGAGGCGAATTTAGAAAGTTGAGATAAAAAGTATTTAGTTTTCATAGGCTTGTGTATTAACACCGGTTTGTGTTACCTAACTATAATGTAATAACTTTCATTCTAATTGAAAGCGAGTCACGGATTTGCCATATAAAGATTCGATAACACTAACAGGCCCTTAAAATTATTGCTAGAAAATGACTACACTGTACTTATTTAATAAATTAAAATCAATTATAATTAAAAAGCAAAATTAATAATGTGGCTGCGGGCATTTATGGTGTTAAATTAATTATAAAAACACCAGTAAAAGATTAACATTGTTTTGTGTATACCATTTAATTTCTTAAATTTCAAACAAATGATTTTCGTGTAATGTTTGTATTTTAAATGAATATTATATGCCCACTATTGTCTTCTAATTGGATTAAAATCTGGCCGAATTTTGGCCGGTATCGAAAAAAAAAAGTTTGGCCGAATTTGGCCGTGAGATGGCGTGTGTTTGGCCGTGAAGCCTATCTGGCAACCCTGCTTTAAATCAGGCTGGTTCGGTTTAAAGTGGCGGCGTCAGCGGGGATGGTGGGGGTTAGGGTTATAATATCTCATAACCCTCACTGACCCATAGTTCTGGTACTGACACACATGCATTATGTTATCTTTTACTTGTATGATTGAAAAATTATTACTTTTTACAGTACTGAAAAAAACAATGTATATTTTTGCACTAGTTGCCTTCTATCCCCAGAAGGGAATGTAATGCGAGTTACATTTGAATAATGCCTTAATTAGCATAATGGGTACTAGGAAAGGTCACTTGATTGTATTAGGCAGGCTCTGATGAGACTACCCGCCGCCCGAGTACAATGCGAGAGCCATGTTGGTTGAATAAATGTACAGTAGGCAAGTTTAATGCTTGGATGAGTTTGTACACAAGGCTGCTCAGATGCTTGAGCTATTCACCACTGTTCAATTTCCTCCATTTTTGTAAAGGAAGTGGATACATTTATGTCATTGTCCAAGGGTGGGCATAAAAATTGGTCAGGGGCCAAAGTGATTTCTGATTTAAAACCAAGGACTTCACCCAAACTTTATCTTTCCCGTACACTTCCAAAAACCTCCCAGCACTGCTTTTACACCACTTTATTCAAAGTTTTAATATTAATTTTTACATATGATCAGTGTTGGGCCGTAAAAAACAAGGTATTTTCTAGCCAATGTTGCTTGGGTGGCTGCACACGTAGGGTTTTTAATTCATATTCGCGGAGGAGGCATTTGATCAAGATAATTTTCATGGTTGGAAGCACAAAAATATTTTTTCCAGGCCTGGTAGTATGTACTTCCATCATGAAATAGATTATTGAATCAATGCTATGGAGGAATATGGGCAGTATGTTTTGTAATAGTGAATTAAGTTCTATCAACTGTATTCCTATGACAAAATGTAATTCCGTTACCAAATGTAATTCCGTTACAAGGTTTTCTACAAAACTAGCGAAGATCAAAGAAAACTGTTGAGTGATAATGGTAAAGGTGTATGACTATTAAGAGAATATAAAGTAACTTGAGTTTATGGACAAAAAACATTTATCACTTATTTGGTAACAAAATTACGGTGTGATATTACCCAATATCTGCTAACTTGCTGTGAAAATTGTAAGATGCCATGTCAGAGTCTATCTCAACATTTGAGTTCTAGGGACCATTAAGTCAAATATTCAGAAAAATTGAAGTCAGGAAGGGTTGAGTTGAAGCATAATTGGGGATTATTTTAAAAATTAGCTATTTAAAAAAGAATTCTGAATCATATGCTCGAATAGACCAGTGGTTTTAGAAGATTATGAATTAATAAGACTAAAATTTCACTTGAACCAAATTCCACATATTATGAAACCCAAGTTAGATTAAACGCATTAAATTTTTGGCCATCTAATGAAGAATTGCCTATGTATTTCCATCATGAATAGATTATTGAATCATTGTCACAATGATTGTGATAATGAGCTAGAAATAAGCATTGAATTCTATTAACTCTACTCAACGTCATGACCACAACGTCCGTATGAACGAGCGAGGATGTTTATTCCATTCTCTCTGCATCCATACTTCTTAGACACATGCACAGCACGGTAGGTAGTTGTTTCCAATTAACTGCCAATGTTGTTTTTCTTAGTGACAACATGGTAAATGTGTTTGACTAAAACATTAAAAATATTTGTTTCGTCTTGCTTTATTCGTAATGTTTAAAATAACTGACAGGAAAAACATGCTTAATTGTCGTTTACTCCTTGCTTCACATCACAGCATATTTGTAGGTTGGATCACATGCTCTCGAAATGTGGTCTTTCTCGATGTTCTTCGCACTCGACCCGACTAAAAACTATGTTGTTTTTTTTTAGTGTGTAAATGTGTTTTCAATGAAAATTAGCAGGGAACCTCCATGTTTTGGCATAGGCCTAATTGTACGTTGTCAAAAGTGTGTTCATTCAACAAATGACACGAGTAAAATGAAAAGAACACAAATATATCCAGCTGATAATATCACTTTTATTTGAAAAGTTAACAGAATGATTTAATAATTTATTTAATGATTTAACTACATACTAGAAAAAACAAATATTTAAATCAGTGCCATGGTGAGCTTGGGCTTCACAGTTTGGGCTAATTTTGAGTGCTGAAATTTGAACTCACATTTTAACGTTCATTTAACCAGAATTGAAAAATTAGGTGAGCAAATGCAAGTTATTAAAGTATGACTGTGCATGCATTTTTCATTTCACGTAAATATATCGTTTACTGATTTGTTTACAATGATATAAATCCACCTTCCTTTTGAAAAAATAGTGGCTATGACGCAGAGATGTAGGCCTACACTGTAGTGCATTGAGATAGCGAGAGTTAGTTTTAAGGCTAGGGTAAAGCCAAGGTTGACCAATCGGCGCATTAGCATTTTAATCACTTCGGCGTAAAAAAAGCCACAGCGTTTTGAAAAAGCTGTAGGCCTAGGTCTAGGATCTCAATCTATTTTTTTGGAAAACAAGGAAGTAACAGGGTCAGAGAGGAGAGGGCATCCTACTAGGATTCCTAGGCCAGGCTAGCTAGTAAATTGTTTAAGAAAGAACTCGTAAAGTCCCTTCGATGTAGATAAGATTTTTTTTTCACAAAGATTCATATTATTTGAAATTCTCTCTTCGAGGATGTTAAACTAGCTCCCTCTGGTGGGTGAACTGCTTCAAAGCGGCTTTAAAGCAAGACTAGAGAGGCCTATATAACTAAGACCTAAAACTATCTTTTCTTTCCCGATCCCTAGATAGATTTTATTTTTAGTTGGCCTATGTTCTAGCCTGCAGACCTATCCACTATTATTCAGTTAACAAATGCATACTTACTAGTAGACGAATATCAGTTTAAATGTAAATAGCATACTGCAGAAACACAACCGACGAAAAAACAAGGAAGGACATCATTCCTTACTATCATCAGCAACAAGGTAAATATTATGGCGTATTAAAACTAAAAATTGCATAAACTTCAAACTTCCGGGAATAGATAGAGGGCGGTAAACAAGTATTGAATTTTGAAAGGTGGTTTAAAAATGTGCATGAATCATGTATTAAAGCATTCAGTTACTGCAAATTATGTAATAACAATGCATCGAAAGCACTGGTCATTTTGCATTTCAATGTACATGATAATACAGTATAAG